CATTCGCAGATTGTATCATGTTTCCAGATTTTTGGACTTCATCAAATTTTGTAAAAATTACATTCAACCTGTATGAAAAAATATATATATAAACAATTAGCCATCATTGTTTACAGTTATATTTTACACTAATGTGAAGTTGAGTCTTACTCACTGAGACCCATCTAATAACAACAGTAACTATGCCAACAGGAAATGAGCCACGTTTGTTTCAAGCCAAGCACTGACCTAACGGCTCCAACTGGAAGATCTCCTTCAATTCTTGTAACAGCTGTATAAGAAATTATGTATTATCATACCCATTTCACAGAAGGGTCTAGATTTCTCCTTATTGGTCCCTTTACTTAAAGTGACACAGCTGGTCAGGGCGGTGATGCCAGACCCAAGAGTAAGAATCAGAGGCCAGGCTATCAGACATTATATTAAACTGACTGTCATCTCCAAACAAAATGCATGCATCATGAAAAGTATTTGTTTCTCCTATTTCTAAGCACATACTGCTGATAACTTACAGATTTTCAGTATGCATTGATACAATACAAAGCTTTTTCTGTGACTTTTGCTTATTTTTAAAAAAAATGCTGTAATTTCTCTAAAAGTAAATGTTGTGACTGGATAATCTTCAGCTTAAAAATCCACATGACACATATTTTCTATTAATGGATCACTTTCATTTTGACATTTTGAAAGCAGCGAAACTCCTTAACTAGTCCAAATATTCCATCCTACTGACATCAGAAATGCGAAGAACTGGGATGGGTTGGAACCCTACCTTGTAGTCAAGAAAAAAGAGGCTTTTCTGAGCAAATTACAGGTATGCTGGAATAAGCATAAAGGCTGAGATTATAAAGTCATGCATTTTTGCATTCAAACTTGTGCCACCCATTTCAGGGACCAGACTAGAAATATCAGCACTTTCTTACAAACCAGCCTGTCATACAAGTGCTAATCACTTCAAACAAGTTTGATTTCCTTTCCAATCAGGATGGAAGCCCTTTAGGAGTAGGGATGGGACCTGTATCATCTTTGGTATTTTGTGCACACCAAACATTGTCAGGCAAGAGGGTGACATCACCACTTAAGAGGGCTGGTACCTGCTGCTGCCCCCACCCTAAAGGTGGAAAGCTAGGTGGTTCACACACTCCAGTGTCAGCTCACACATGCATTCATTCACTGGGCCAGCACTGAGCTACCTAGGTGCTGAGACTGGAAAGTTTCCACCATCTAGAGCGCCTATTTACCTCTACACTTCATTCTAGCCTACTTACCCTGTGGCATTCTAAGATCCAGAGGACCCAAAATGCGCATCAGTGAACAGGGGTGAAATGAAGGTGAACTGGCCAGATGCACTGCCTCTCCTGCTTCCCATTTCATGACAGATAGTGATCTTTTAACCCATCTCTCCAGGTAAGCCCAGATACACCCTCAGAAGCCTCCTCAGAACTGCTCCAGACAGCTATCACCAATGAATCACAGTGGGCACTGAATTAAAGATCTATTTATTGCCCCTGGACCAGATGAGTAACACTACCACTCACTTTCTACTCCAGGTTTCACTGAAAGTCTGGCAAGATGTCTTAGAATCAAGTTCTTATGATGTCCATCACCTTCCCTTTTCTGAGTACAAAGACTCCCAATGGCTTAACAAGCCCATAAATATATCCCTATACAGGTTGCCAGGGCCTGCCCTGACCAAGCTACCACTTTGTTGAGTCACAACTATACCCTCTGACGTGAGCAGGCCTACAAGTCTGCCCAGCAGGGACAAAGGAGATCTCCAGCTGGTTTTCCCTGAAATCACTGGGAGGGGGCGAGTATTTCTTCCATTCCTAGAACAGTATTCACCATTATCCATGTCAACTGTGGAAGTGTCTGCAGACTCTATGTAGACCTCAGGTGACGCCTACTCACTGTGGCCACATTAGCCATAACCAGCAGGCCCAACAACCAGGCCTGAAAATGCTAAAATGATTACCATTGTTGGCACCTGCACCTTAATTGAGAGTTACTTCAGGCAGCGGACAGGCCTTCCCCCTGCTTTCGTGTTCCTATCTCAACGGCCGCCCTCTTCACTGCTCAGTAATGCCTAGGCCACGGCTCCTGAGATGGTCACCTCCAGGGAGCAGTAATCTGGCTTCGTGACAGTTCAACACCAATAAACCTCCCTTAAGAACGGCTTTCGTCTACTTGCTCTGAGCACAGCTACACAAAACGCCTCTTTTGGAACCTATCAATCTGCACAAGTCTAACAGGTGAGTTTTCTACGTTCAGAGACACTGAATACATAGCTAATGATTACCTGCTAAAGCCACCAAGTTTTTGCACTTTTTAAATTTTAAATCTTTGGATCTCAAATATAAAATAAATTTCTTCACTAGTTTGACAAATAATCCAATATCATTTTTACCCTGGTTTTTCTGAATTTAAATTTTATATTCAACTCAATCCAATAGGTGTTTATTTTACTGCAAAACTGTGATCAAATTATTCCTTCTTAGAATAGCTTATAATATAAATTTAAAATAACTTCCTAAAAGCAAATACTAGCAATCTCATGGTAAACAAACTCTACCTATACACTCAGCTTATAACTGGCTTTTCAGTCTGCTACTCTTCAATGTGAGCAGGTAACCAAGGATTATAATGCATCAGCAAAACTTCTAGTATGGACAAGACTAAACTGAACACACGGATACCCCAACACTTCAATTGAGAGGAGAGACCACACAGTCCATGGAATTCTCCAGGCCAGAACACTGGAGTGGTGAGCATCTCCCTTCTCCAGGGGATCTTCCCAACCCAGGGATTGAACCCAGGTCTCCCGCATTGCTGGCAGACTTTACCAGCTGAGCTCTCAGGGAAGCCCAAGAATACTGGAGTGGGCAGCCTATCCGTCCTCCAGCGGATCCTCCTGACCCAGGAATTGAACCGGTGTCCCCCGCATTGCAGGCGGATTCTTTATCAGCTGAGCTCTCAGGGAAGCCCAAGAATACTGGAGTGGGCAGCCTATCCGTCCTCCAGCGGATCCTCCTGACCCAGGAATTGAACCGGTGTCCCCCGCATTGCAGGCGGATTCTTTACCAGCTGAGCTCTCAGGGAAGCCCAAGAATACTGGAGTGGGCAGCCTATCCGTCCTCCAGCGGATCCTCCTGACCCAGGAATTGAACCGGTGTCCCCTGCATTGCAGGCGGATTCTTTACCAGCTGAGCTCTCAGGGAAGCCCCTCAACTTAGAGGAGAGACTATGAACAGTTTCTAATATATTATTTACATCTCCGAATAAATGAGAAAATATTATAGTCATAAAAGAAAACAGGGGAGGATCCTTTCAAAAAGGTACCTAAGAACCTTCGAAAATTTGCTCCTTCAAGGAAGCAAAGAAAACATCAGCAAAATCGGACAAAATCAAGTTTTCCAAAACTCTGGAAATTAAACAAAGGCTTGTAACAATCCAGGCATTTTTCAAACAAAAAGGCTGAATCTTGGTAAGAACAGCAAGCTTTCCATTGCTTTGGAAGGGCCCTATTTCCATTTTCAACTCAGGCTGAAAAGGAACAGCCTCACAATCATGGCAGTTTGAAAACCAGCAGACTCACAACCACTAGAAATTCTGAGTTGAACAAGTCTGGAGACCCTTAAAAAAATCCCCGTTCCCAGAGAACTGTCATTTCCTGATGATCTGTCTGGCATATTCCTGAGCCCCCCTTCACAGGGCTTGTCTTTACCTGACCTCACTCAGAGCATGCTCAGTGAGAGATCTTTCTTCCTGAGGCCACAGTCAAAAAGAATTCACAACTGTTTAACAGGGCAGCTGCCTGAGATGGCAATAACATTCCAGGCAAAGAAACTGACAAAAAAAAGAAACTTACAAGGAAAAACTGGAAGAGGAGATGTTCTCAGGAAACTCTGAAAAGCTCTGACAAATGACTGGGAATGTACAAGACCACATACACGGGCAAGGCTGTGGGCATGCCCAAGAAGGACTACAGCGCTAACGTCTCACCTCTGGCTGACCTTGAGACCCTGCACAAGCGGCAGCAAAGAGGTCTAAAGGCAGAAATGCATAAACCGCCTGCCGTAACACTGAAACTCTGCCCCAACACAGAGAGCCTCCAGCGAGGGCAATGAGAGGGAAACCTCATCATCGGCGCAACACTAACCCAGCCAAGCAGAGAGGACAAGAGTAGCCACACACACCCAAATATACAGACTTCACAGAACTATGAGGTCAGTAAGTCAGCCGTGAGCAACAAAAACGGTAAGCACCAACAACAGCAGGGCTGAGGCGAGGCGAAGAATGTGATTTTCAAAACTGTCACAATGCATAATCTTAAGTGTTCAGTTTCAACAAGACACTTATGAGACACATAAAGAAACAAGTAAATACGGCCCACACGTAGGGGAAAAAAATCAGTCACAGAAACTAACCTTAAAGGACTAACGAGATGAATACTTGAAATCAACCACTATTAATATAGTTAGAGAAATAAAGGAAATTATTTCTAAAGAATTAAGGAAAATATAAGAACCAAGGTCTCACCAGAGAATATCAATGTGTAGAGACAGAAAACCCAAGAGAGAATCACGGAAATCCTCAAAATTCACAGACAGCTGAAATTAAAAGTTCACTAGAGGCTCACCAGTGACTTGAGGGATCTCAGAGAACAAAGCAGCAGCGAACTTGAAGATGAGTCACTGACACTGTCATGTTTGAAAAACACAAGAAAAATGAACAGGAAAGGGTACTAATAAACAGAGCCCACGAGATTATCTTTTTATTATACCCACATACACTCAATGGGAATCCCAGAAGGAGACAGGAAAGGAAAAAGCACAAAAAGAATATGTGAAGAAATAATTATCAAAAACGTTCCAGATTCATGAAGTTCAACAAGCTTGCAATAGGATAAACTTAGAGAGATTCTAACCCAGACACATGACAAGCAAAGCACTAAAAGAAAAGACCTAGAGGCCGACTTCCCCGGTGGCACGGCAGAGGAAAGTCCAACTGCCGAAGCAGGCGGTACAGGTTCAATCTCTGCTCTGGGGAGACCCCACATGCCGCAGAG